GACCCATGACCTACATACATTTTCAGGAGTCTCTTATGCATGGTACGCTGCATACCAGCATAGCTGAATGAAATTAAGCATGTTTAACCAAGCTGTGTTTAAGATCAGCTTTCATTGCATGTGTTTGTATTACCACTAAAATACCAATTGGCAAAATGCAGCAAAAAAAAGCCTAGGGTATCAATTTGGAAATAGATTCTTAAAACTTATTTACATTTTAATTCTTTTTCAATTTAACTTCAAATTGACAATAACTTGTATGAAATTTTTTGTAGCTGTTCCAGATACACAATGTACAATATTTATACCACGGTTTTACTTCAGTTTACACACAAACAGTTGCTAATTCTTTTGAGCCATTGTTCCATTCATCAAGCTGCCAGGCTATAGTAACGATGTGTTTAATGAAAGAGGAAAAGGAGGGGTGAGAGACATTGGGTGGAACAACTAACTATAGAATGAAGCGATAGTGACAGATCCTCACAAAAGAAGGTAACTACAGATCAAAAGAAATAGTCTTCTAAAGAAGAAATGCAGAAATTGACAATCGTAGCTAAGATAAATTGAAAATTGAATGTACATGCACAAATAGAAAAGAATTAGGCAATGGACAACTGATTTTAAATTGATAATTTGTTTAAACAGCTCATTTGTTTTGGAAAAACAGGTACAATTTTTTGAGTAATGTTCAAATACATCTGAAGCAACTGCAAAGGCGTAAAATGAGGTGTTGAACTGTCTTGAGGAGCAAACAGCATGCCTTCATTGAGGGTCTAAGACAACAAAACAACTAGAACTGCAGAGAAGATTAATGAGAAGAGAGTGTATGATATTGATGAACCACCCAAAGTTGCTGTTGGGGCCAAAGTATTTCCATCCAAAGGCAGCAAAAAGTTGTATAATATAATAGCCATTCCAATCATTTGATGTTCATAGAAAATGTAGGGTAATGGAAACATATGTGGATGATGACAGGCAAGTGGAAGAAAGGATGGGAACAGGGAAGAAAAAAGGGGTGGGATAAGAGAGAAAAAGAGAGAAAAAGATCATAAATATAAAGCCAAATTAAGAATTTAAGGTAAACAAATAATGTGTAAATTTTAACTTGAAATAAAACAGATTAGAGAAATATCTGCGCAACGTAAGTATGCTTAATTGTAAGCAGAGCACACAAGGTCAAAGATCATATTTCATGGTTACAGGGTTAAAGGATACAAACTAAGCTGAGAGAATGGAAATGATCACACAATGGGTTGCAAGGACAGAATTGAGCAAAAAGAAACAGTAAGTAGTTTCTATGAAAGACAAACATAAAGCTGGAATAAGGCTGGTAAAAAAGTATTTGAAATTAATGCTATGTTTTACTTTGCTGCCATATATGTTAGCTGCATTCAGTTAAATGGCTTGCAACTATTGGCATGGAAAAGCAGTTCCTCTGCCCATGCTCCAAGCTGCTGTGTAAGTAACTGCCTTAGTGATGTAACAGGCCAGTAAGACTCGATGTAACATTGTCAGCCTCGTCATGCATATTGCAGCACACACTGCTGCATCCCCAGAAAACAGTAATATGTTAACTCATTAACCACTAAACCCTAGAATCCATCCACAGAACATCTAAAATATTCAAAAGCCCAATTAATCAGTTATTGTACCACTAATGAAGTGAGTCAGTACAGTGCTTTCATTGACATGGTCAAAGAAATAAGGAAGCTGTACTTTAGAGTAATATTTCAAGACGAATAGTATTTAGTTGAAAGCTGAGAAAGCTTACATCTACACATTCAGGACTATATTTTCCTCTTATTGCATATAAAGTATTAACTATTAATTGTTAACATAATTAATAAATTACAAATCAAAATGGAGAAACATTTTGTTGTATATATAAAACTTCATCATAGAATGACATAGTACTGAAGGGGGCCATTCATTCCATGATGTTTTGGCCAGTTCGTTAAAGTCAGAAGTCACATGACACCAGGTTCTACTCCAACTGGTTTATTTGAAATCACAAGATTTTGAAGCATTGCTCCTTCTTCAGGTGAAGTGTGGACTTCACCTGATGAAGGAGCAGCGCTTTGAAAGCTTGTGATTTCAAACAGACCTGTTGGATTACAATCTGGTGACCTGTGACTTCTGACATTGTCCACCCAGTCCAACACTAATACCTCCACGCAGCTCTTTTAAAGAGTTATCACATTAATCCCACTCCATTCCTCTTGCTGCACTACCCTGAACATACTTTCACTTCAATATTTATCCAATTATTACTAAAGCTGCTTCCATGAATGAAGAAAACCAGCCAGGCAGAATGCAAAACATTCCAGGGACACTAAACCTGAGACACAAAGGGCCACCTCTTTGCATAATGCTCATTGTTTAGCAAGAAAAAATAATTTTGACTGCAATTAATCTATTACACAGATGCTGCTGGGAGGCTTCCATTATCTTTCATGGCAAACAAACCTATGACATGAGATTGTCAAGCATTTTGGAATTGCGTTACATATTGCATTTATCAAATTTTACTGAATTTGAAATAAGGGCTACACAGCTAGTAAAGTATATTAAAACGTTTCATGATGTCCTAAAACAGAGTTCTTAAACTTTCCCTTTGGGAAAAAGGCTTTCTTTTCAAAATATTCATTTTGAATATTATTTATCACAACGTGGTTCCTTTAAATTCCAGTCAAATACAAAAAAAAACCTGACCTTTCTTTATAGAACTCACTCAGCTCTATGTACTAATTTTCGAACAATTTTGTCAGGTTCATCATTAAAAGACTTCCATAGGAGTTAAACTACAGCAACAAAAAAATGCCTATAATTTAAAAAAAGTTCAATAAAGAGGAAAATATCGTCCTTTATATCTTTAGGAAATCTTGCATTCACTCAGATTGGTGTACTATAAATTGCTAAGATCATAAAAATTGATAATAAAATTCTCTTTGGTCTAACTTGGTCAATGAAAATCCTGTGTTCTGATTCACAGACAACTGGTATGATTGGGCAAATAAACAGCAAGAATAGATAAAATAGCAAGAAACTCAAGGGCCTACAGCCAATAACCTGTGATGAAACTGTAACCTTTACTACTTGCAGAAATAAACATTCAGACAGGTTCTATATTGAAATCAGGAGCCTCTGCAAACTAACTGGAGCATGAGGTATAAATTGCTGTTTTCTGCTCCAAAACCAATCACACCACAATGTTCATTTTTGAAATGTATTATCAGTTGGACACAGCTTTGGCAGCCTTCCAGTATTGAAACAGTATAATTGCCACTGAAGTTACATTAATAACCTTGGGTGGCATCAAGAATCAGTAACCACTATAAGGATTGTTGAAATATAAAACTTGTCATGGATAGAGAGAGGTTGCATGTCAGCCAGATTCAATTCAGCTGATTAACATCAGTAAACTAGCGCTCAGAGAGACCAAGGAAACCACATCACTAAAACCTGGTTGTCACTGCAATTAAATTTCACAAAGTAATTACGACAGTTACTATCACTGATGGAAATTTGGAAAACAAAATTATGCTCATAACAGCATAAAGTGATGACAGATTTCAAAATTTGAGCTTTGGAAAAAAATCTTGGATCTTGTAAGTTTTTAAATCAACATTATCTTCAAATCTGTGCGGGCTTATTTTTTCCTTGGGTCATTCTTTTGACATTACTGCTTGTAATAACAGTTCAGCCTTCTCAAAATTACTGCTTTGCTGCTACTACGGTAGGTATTAGCAATGCTCGATCACTTCAGAAGATTCTTTTTTTTTTACAGCTTTCAGTCAGGGAGCTGGCAGTTATAATAAGAACTTGAGAAAATTGTCTTGCTAGAACTGCAGGTCTTGGACCAAACAACTGGTGACTTTGGCTGCTAAAATTCAGATGTGATTCACACAAGGTGTACAAAACTGTGGGGCAGAACCTTGTGACGATGTCGGAAATATCTGGCTGGCAAGCGGACACAGGTCCTTGTGATGCTTCTTTCCAGGAACATCTACCACTACACCTTGTGTCACAAATAGGCCCTTGTCAGGCCAACAGTAGGCATTCCCCGCAGGATCAATGTTCAGATGACAGAATGAACTGTGGGTCTCTACTGAGTGGCAGTAGCATTGAGCAGACAGTAGTTACTGCCATACAACACCCAGGCAAGGCCAAGGATCATTGTTCAATCTCTGGCCACAGCTGAGTCATGGTGGAAGGGAATTGGTAGTACTGGTGTGGGGGGGGTGAGAGAAGGGGTGCTCTCAGCAAGCTTCCCTTTCGTGGTGTTGGGTCCCTTGATTAGGCAGGGAGTGCCAATGAACAACTGCTCCCTCTCTCCTCCAACCTCCATTGGAGAAAGCAAATACATCCCACCCATTGTTGGATTAATACTAGTGGTGGCAGGAGGAGGTCCTTAAAGCTGTCAATGGGTCTCCCTACCCTGGACTTTATCAGGATGGAAGATGGCATCTACAGGAAGGATCCTACTTGCTATCCTCCTGCCTGAACAAATGCTAACTCACCCTCCACCGACCAGCAAACGTGTTACACTGGACAGCAGAAGATTCAACTCGTTCAGTTAGATAACTATTAACCTGCTCAAGAAAGCATGATTGTCAATGTGTTGCAGTATTACTGCTTGCTGCAATTTTCCCCTCACTGAACAGTTCTTATGCCCTGTTCCAATGTAAGATTCCAATTTCATTTTGTGTTAATGGCTGTACCCATGATTACTGCTTTGCACGCCAACATTTCTTGCTGGATACAAGTCTGGTGGTGGAAAAATATGATCGGAAAATGAACTGTATTCATTTTTAAATATGCAGAGAAGTACTAACTAGTACAAATTTTTCCATGAAAGGAATAAATGAAATCAATACATCACAGACAGATGAATACCATATAAAGCAGTATTCAATTTTACAAGCATGACTAGATTTGGGGATGCAGCGTCTTTGCAAGATTTAATGCAAATAATATTTGAAAGCAGCCAGAAATTGTACCTGGAATGACAGTGGGTTCTATCGAGGTCCAGAAGGAGACGGAACCAGCTTCTGACTTGCCTTGCTGGTTCTCAGCAACAACATAAACTTCATACTCAGAGTTCCATTCCAGGTTTGCGAGAATAACATATTCACTGTCAGATGGTAATCGCATCTCAGGTTTCCAGTCCGAGTGATGTTTCTGCAAAATAGACCATTAGTGAGCAAAGCACTAACAGAGCATCAATCTAACAGATTTGTGCAGATAAATGTACACTAGTTAAAGCAATGTGCCACTGTGCTGTGTTATGCCTGACTTTTAATAAGTTTCAGAAAATGTAAAGGCTGCCAATGATTGACTTTCTCACTTTTGATTTTGAAGCAGAGATAAATGATACACAGATTCAACAGCAACGTCCAGAAATGGAGTCACTGCAAGTTTGAAGCCCAGAGATGCTATTCACCTGCTCCTTTGTCAGGGGATTAGCCATTAAATTCTGGGCTTTTCCACTTTACTTTTTGGATGCAAGTGGTAGCATTGAGATCCTGAGTTTCTCACAAGTACAACAGGGCAAAACTAAAATGGAAATTCTGAATAAGTCATATCAGACTCAAAGTAACTTTGTTTCTCTTTTCACTGCTGCTTCCAGATGTACTGATTTCTTTTTGCCCCCCAGTATTTTCTGATTTTATTTTAGATTTCCAGGTCTGAATTTTTTTTTGTTGTTTTGAATAAAATGAAGGTGTCACTTTGCGAAAGAAAGGGTGGACACTGGTGTGCGAAACTTGAACTTATTCAAAAGAATATAAGACAACTCCAGGAAAAATAAAGTACATTTTCACTTGTTCAAATTCAACATAAGAAGTATCTATCAGAAAGGCATGGAGAAACTGGCAACAGGGTTCCTAATAATGCATACTGAGGGTAGTTGGGCCTATGGAGTTCCCAAACTTTCGTCTTCAAAAGTGAAGAATTGTAACATTTGGTGAAATCACGCAAATTGCAGCGCCAAGTTGGCACACATAACTTAAGATGCAAATATTAGCTTCTGCTTTTATATGGTTAAGTCACATCGTACTATTTCGCTAACATTCAGTGGCAGTATACCCAAGGACAGGGCTTTGTTCCTATAAGAAACGACTAACTGTCTCAGCTACTGTGAAAGTTTTCCTATCTTTGTGAAAATAATGGAATAAACTGAAAACAAAAAGCAGATAAAACCGAAGTACCTTGAATGCCAGTTTCAATATCACAATTTTTTTTTGTGAATACAATGAATTGGGTCCATGAATTGTCCATTTGTCAAAGTAGATTCACTAAGTCACTTAAGATCGTAGAAATTCAAAAGGGCATTGAACAAAGAAGTTGGCAAGTCATGTTGCAGTTGTATAAGACTTTGCTTAGGCCAAATCTGGATTAGTGTGTGCAGTTCTGGGCGCCATACTATAGGAAGGATTTGGAGACAGTGCCAAAAAGATTTACCAGAAATGCAGGAACTGGCAAGTGGAGATAACTGAACAGACTCAAGGAGTTGAGTGACCCTCTTCTACACTGAGATACTCTAGATTTCTATGACATTAAACAATAAAAGTTAGACAGATATACTAACAGCTCAAGCTTTCAAAGTGCTGGAAGAGACGGTGATCCAGCATCACAACAGAATAATCAGGACGTTGTGTTTCAATTGGTTACAGTCTTGGGAAGGAGGAATAAGCATTTTCCATACAGGCTGATAGAAACTCAAATACAGGAGGTCACCATTCAACACTCTGTTTCTGGACCAATCACACATTGGTCAGTGAACAGTGATGCAGCCACAGTTATCTGAATATATATTAATGGCTTGAAAGTTGGAAATGAATGTACTATCACCAAACCTGCAGATGACAGAAATAGATGAGAAGTAGTGAGGTTGTCACCAGGACTCTATAGAGGGATACAGACAATGTTACATGTGTGGACCAAACCTTGAATGTAGTGTGATAAAACATGAGTTTATACACTTTGGCAGGAAGAATTGAGAGTTGTTCATTATTTAACTGGGAGAAGACTGAAAATGCTGAAGCACAGTGATTTGGGGGTTGCTCGTACACGAATCACAAAAAGTTAACATACAAGTTCACCAGGTAATAGAGAAGGCAAATGGAATATTCGGCTTCATTTCAAAGGGAATGGAGTTTAAAATTAGGAGATCTTGCTAAAACTATCACGGCACTATTCAGTGGTGGATTACTGTGCATCCTTTTGGTCCCTTATCGAAGGGCAGATATATATCTGTATTGGAAGCAGCACAGAGAAGGTTCACTAGGTTGATCCTGGGTATGGAGGAATTTTCTTTCAAGGAGAGGTTCAGTAGATTGTTCTGAGGAAGGGTCACTGGACCCGAAACATTAACTCTGATTTTTCTTCACGGATGCTGCCAGACCTTCTGAGGAGGACCTGACGAAAGCTTGTGATCTCAAATAAACCTGTTGAACTATAACCTGGTGTCATTGTGACTTCTGACTTTGTCTTGCCCAGTCCAACACTGGCATCCCCACATCAAGCTAACAATGTCAGCGATAGCTATTTTATTGGGGAATGATCTAGAAGCAAAATATACTTCCAGCAACTTCTGCTTTTGCTCGAGTAGATTGGGCTGAAAGGAGGATTTATAGAAACACAAGATTCAAAAGCTTAACAGGGTAAATGCAGAGAGATTATGGCAAAGGCTAGGGCCAAAGATGTAATCTCAGAGTAAGGAGTTGCCAAGGTAAGACAGAGAGGAGAAAGATTGCGAATCTGTGGAATTCTTTACTGCACATGGCAATTGAGGCTGGGCTATTAAATATACTCCAGGCTGAGATTTCTAATCAGTAAGGGAATCAAGGATTATGGAGATAAAACAGGAAAGTGGAGGCAAGGATTATCAGATCAACTACAATCTCACTGAATGGCAAAGCAGACTCAGTGGGCTGAATGGCCAACATCTGTTCCTATATCTTATGGTTTTATGGTTACAATCATCCTAAACTTGATCCAACTATACTCAACTTCCATCATCTGCCTTTAACAGGAGATCTTAATGATGTAATGATTCTTAAAGAGGATAGATACTAACCTAAAATGGCTGCTGCGATCACCTGACCACAGACTGAGCCAAGTCCAAACAACCCAAACAGAACAAAGTAGATGAAACAGAAAAAAGTACATGAACTGGCTGCACTGAAATTACCATTCCATTCAAAGACAAAGACAGAGAAACAAGACAAATAAGTCAGTGTCCATAAATTTGCATCTTGTGTTTAATTCACGGTTGCATTGATAAAAGCTCCACGAAAACAGAAGAGAGGCATGACGGGGGAGAAAGTGAGAGGGGAAGGCAGGGAAGTGGAGAGATAGAGAAGCTGGAAAGAAAAGAAGAAACAGAATTCCGAAAAAGGGAAGGAACTTGAGCTGAGAAGGGAAACCGAAATCAGCTTTGGTGAGGAAACCACATCCAACTCAGAACTGACAGCTGAAATATTAAGATTTGACAATTTAAAACTCAATTTTGATGAGGAAGAGGCAGACGCCATCTTTATTTCCTGTGAATACTGGCATAGCAGTTATGAGTGCTTCCAGGGAAGGTTCACAAAGTTTACTCTCTTTTCCTGTGGAGTATGCCATTAACTGCAAGACAGCGAAAGGGACTTCTTCAAATGTGCAAGAGTTAGCGCCAAAAGGCTTTTAGGAGAAAAATATCAGACCTTTGAGAAACAATATAACCAGACGTAGAATTTGAATGGCTTAGCAGTTCACTTTTGACAATGAGTACAAGCATTTAATATCAAGGCCACCTATGAAAAACAATTTTAGGTAATGCTCCAGAAGTTTATACTCTTAATTTCAGATCCATATAGAAGAAGAGAGTAGCAGGACCCAGGCAGACAGCAATTCTGGCTGAGGATTGAGAGGTAAATCAAAACTCATAACGCAGGAAAGCTGGGATCTAGAAGCTGTCACAAACCCAGGGAGTGATAAGGGCAAGGTTAATACCACCCAGGCAAGCTGAAGAGAAGAGTGAAGCCAGGCAGAGGAAACACAACTATCCACGATCACAGCAAAGGATGGAAGACAGATGGGAAGCTGCCTCAAATGCTTCCATTGTGGCAAACAAGGACACGTAAAGGAAAACTGTTGGTTGCAAAGATCCCCAAAACTCAAGCTGCAAGGCAGGTGACTGTAGCATTAGGATGGTCAGTGCCTGTTCAGACATGACTGTTAACCAGGTAAGTTGTCAAGAGCGTGTGCAGAATAATGATGAACACTGTTTTAAATAGCCAGAGAGAGAAATCAACATTGTCCACAGCAACGGTACTCATGGACATGGTCAGTGGGAAAAAGATTTCCAACTTGAAAGCGAAATAAATCCTAATGTGCTGATAAAAGGGCTCATGGGAAACTGATACAGAGGTGCTACTAGTTAAAGTTTATTGAGAAAGTGAACTGGCTACATCCAGGAATGGTGGGGGCAGTTCTAAGCTAACAAGTCGTCAATGCACTTGATGAAGGAGCAGCGCTCCAAAAGCTTGTGATCTCAAATAAACCTGTTGGACTATAACCTGGTGTCGTGTGACTTCTGACTTTGTCTTGCACAGCCCAACACTGGCACCTCCACATCAAGCTAACAATGTCAGCGATAGCTATTTTATTGGGGAATGATCTAGAAGCAAAATATACTCCTCAAACAGAAAAAGGCAAGGCAAAAGGATTGGAAAGGCTGAAAGACGCCAATTGGAAGTAGCAGACAGGCCAGAGAGGGAGAAAGATCACAAGCCTTAGAGGGGATGGCAGAATTCATGAGGGCTGGAGTAGCTCGACAGGTCACATGAATTAAATGAGCAGGAAATGGCAAAGACATTGGAAACTGAATAAAGCTCAGAACCTGTCTGGGTGGCAGTGAATCCCATAAGGTTTTCGCTTGCTCAGAACGGTCATTTGAATTAAGCAGGGCTGAAGACGGGACTGAAGTTTTAGTAGGATCAGGAGAGAATATGCAGCTGTTAAAAAGGCCAACAGCTGTAAAAGACTAGAAAGAGCCTGGGAAGGTGACAAAAGATCACAGTGCAGACAGAAGTATGATTAGTAGATACCTTCATGGCAAAATTTTAAAAAGGGAGTTCTCAGACAGGGCAGAAGTGAAGGTGATGCCACACTGAGTGGAAGAAATGCAGGAGAGA